ATTGACTAAATTGATTAACAATTGTTAATTATGAAGACTAACATTTTAAAATTAAAATTTGATATTTGATCGATCCTGCATATTCTAAAGACTAAAGTGAATGCTTGCTTTATGATTATTCATTATGATATTTGGGGTCTTTGTCAAGCTAGTCTTAGAAACTTTGTTTCTTGTGTGGATGATTATATTCATGAAACTTGGCTATTTTTAATGAAATCTATATCTTAATTACTTACTATTATTTTGCAATTTTGGAACTAAAGTTTATGATCAATTTAATTTTCATATGCATATTTTTTATAGTGATAATGTTAAGGATTATATTCTTACATCATTGTATAGTTGTTAAATGACCTTGAACTTCCTATAGTTGTTTGCAAAGGTAGCAAACTTGTTTCTTATCCTATTTCTTTTTATAAATTTGTTACCCATTTGTTATCTACTTCAAAATCCTCTATAGCTAGTGAGAATTCAATTTCATTTCCTAAGAATCTTTTAGATGTTTTAAATCATGATAATTGGAAACATGTTACGGAGAAGGAAATAATGACTCTTGAGACATGCTATTTGGGATTTGGTTCTTCTTCCTAAAAGAAAGAAGGCTATTTGTTGCAAGTGAGTTTATATTATGAATGTGAATCTTGATGGTTCTATGGTTCACCTCAAGGCACGTTTTGTTGCAAAAAGTTATTCTTAAACACATGGAGTTAACTATATTGATCCTTTTTCTCCTATTGCTATTTGTCTGTATCTTTATCTCTCTAGTTGTTAAGCATCATTGGTCATTGTATCAACTTGATGTAAAGATAATGTATTTACATGGTGATATACACGCAACAACCACCTAGAGTATAGTTTGCGATATTCAGTGACGTGATTTTAGAATTTGAATTACTAAGGAGTCAGAGTGATGATAAAGTATTTCATAACTAAACTAACCTTGGTTTCACATTACTTGTTTTGTCTGTTGATGATAATGTTATTGAAGGTAGTGATAATGAAGGAATCAACAAGCTAAAGATATTTCTTTATACTAAGTGTCAAACTAAGGACTTGGACATCTCGAAATATTTCCTAAATATTGAATTTATATGTTTAAAGAAAGAGATATTTTTTTTACAGAGAAAATATATTCTAAATATGTTGACTGAAACTAGCTTGAAGGGAGGTAAACCATGTGAGATGCCTATAAAGTCAACTATGAAGTTGACAATAAATGAAATCTTCATTTTTTATCAATAGAAATACAAAAGATTGGTTGAAATTTTGAATTACCTAGCAATCCTAGGTTAAATATTGCTTTTCTAGTAAGTGTTGTAAGTCAATTTATGACTTATTTGACTAACACTTACTAGGAAGCACTTATTTGCATTGTTAAGCACTTAAGGAAGGCTCTAGGAAAGGGTATTGTGAAGAAGGATCATGGAAATTTGTAGGTGAAAATATTTTTTTAATGTTGATTGGGCAAGATCTCCTATGAACTGCATATCTACTACAAAATATTATGTGTTTCTAAGAGGTAATTTGATTCCCTAAAAAAGTAAGACACTAAATATTGTGACCAAATCAAATGCAAATGCATAGTACAAGACTATAGCTTTGACTACTTGTGAGCTATTATGGATTAAGCAAATCTTGAAAGATACGAGATTTGGTAACACTATTTCTATTAAACTATGGTATGACAATCAAGTTATCATTTACATTACATCGAATCTAGTTTTTCATGAAAAATCAAAGCATATTAAAGTGAATTATCACTTCATTCAAGGAAGATTCAAAAGAATCTTTTATTTATCTCTTATGTTAGAACAAGTGATCAACTAGTAAATGTATTTATAGTGGCATAGAATCAGATACATAGTGATTTTATTTGTAACAAGTTAGATATAATTAATATTCATGCTCTAACTTGAGAGAGTGTTATGAATAGTCATAATAATCCTGACCTTTATATAATATTCATATGACCTATTCTAAATACAAGACCTGCTTACACCAACAAAAAAAGATAATCAAGCCTCTCTATTAAGCCATAGGATGACATAAGTATGACAATGGGTGTCTTTCGCATGTTATCATTCTAGAAGTAAAAACACACTTTCTTTATTTTATATTTTATTTTTGGCATAATAAAGTTTTTCTCTTTTAACGAAATAAGAGCAATTGATAAGATTATAATATAGGTAAAATATAAGTAGTCTCTAAACTAGGACATTAGCATAGCAGCTTCTACTTTTCTACCTGATAAGTTGTCTTTTTTTTAAAAAAAAAATTGTGCAGACATGTAAGACTTCGTGATTTATGATTTACATTGTCGCAATCAGGCGGTCATAACGATACGGATAAAATGATATTTTAAGAAAAATATCTTTTAAGAATAAAAATATTTTTCTAAAAAATCAGAGGAGTCACCACCAAAGTTTATTTTAAGAAAACTTTGGAAAAAACTTTTTAAAATTATATGATCTTTGTAACAAAAAATGAGTTCGAGAGTCGTTTACGTGTAGGGAAGGTATTCGCACTCTACAACGTCTGTTTAAAACGGTTACCTTAAATTAATTATGCAAATTCATTTTAATTTTAAAAAGTATTTATTTAACCCTCTAAACATTAATTATTTATATTTTTATTTTAAAATAAGACAAATTATTTATTAAAATGTTAATGGATTCCTTAAAAATTTATTTTGAAAATTATTTTGACTTGATGGGTTTGATTCTCGCTCTTAGGTATCCCCTGGTGTAATGGGAAACTCAAAGCCATGTAATTCTATCTAAAAATTAAGAAGTTGGTTAACTAAGAAAATTTATTTTGATATTAAAATTATTTTCATAAAATTATAATATTTAGGATAAAAGATAACGCAGTTATACATATACCCTACGAGAAACAATACAGAAGATGAAGGAAAATCACACAACTATATTGCAAGTCGTTAAAAAGTATTTTTATTTGTAAATAAAATATTTGAATTTATATTTAAATTATGATTAAAGTTGAAAGAGAATTTAAGATAGCGTAAGCTATATATTAATCTCTTATAATTTTTAGACAATCAAAAGTAATATAAATCACACATTGATATTGCAAAAATTTGTATAATAAAAATAGAGAAATGATTGGTTATTTAATTTATCAAAATTATAAATATGATTCAACAATTTTTAAAATATGAAATTGATTTTATTTTAAAAAATAAAATTTATTTGAATTGATTAAAGAAGATACTTATTTAATAAAAAGATTAAACATTCCATTTGTTATATTTATATTATATAAAATCTAAGGTAACGTTAGTACACATAAGTTTTTGACAATTTATAATGCATAAAGGTAGAGTCGATACACATTAGCATTATAAATTATTTTGTTAATAAAACAATTTAGATTTAAAGGACTGGAATGTGATTGACACATGATAAAATAATTAAAACAATAAAATAATTGTTAAATAAAAAATTAAAAATTAAAAAGATTTACGTAATAGCAAAAGTTAATCTACAAATTTGTATTTCTTTCATTCGAGAAGTCTCATACTTCTTATTGTAGCATTCTAAACTAGCAGGGCAAGCAAAAACAAGAGTTTTATCTCTAAAAAGAATATACCTTGTAGTTTCATTCCCTCACAAAGATATAACTTCAAGTCTGAAGAAGAATAGAGGACAAAGATTTTATTCATGGTGTAACTTCTCTTCTTTTATCTCTGATTTTCTTAGTATTCTCCTTCTTGATTTTTTTCTCTTTTTGCATAACTCTAAATCTTTACTCTCTTTTCTGAAAACTTTGTGCCTCCTTATCTTCCTCTCCAAAAGCTTTTCATTTTTTTAAAAAAAGATTTTGCCGCTCTTAAAATTTTTTGTTTCTGAAAATCTGCCGAGTTCCAGATTTCTTCCTTGTGTTTTTATATTGGTCATTTTTAGGGTTTCACATGGAGACAAATTTCTAAACTTTCCCTTTCTCATGTATGGAGTCGGTTTTGATATTAGAGTATAGACTTGCCTAATGTAGGATTTTCGTTTCTGGGGCCAAATCTCTGTTTTTAAAAGTTTTCTATTTTTTTGTGAAACAATTTTATTTCTTTATTTTTATTTTTTTTAAATTTGGAGGCAATTTTAAATTTGAAAACAATTCGAAAGAGACAAAAATTAGTATTTACATATATATCTGTAACTTTCCTTCTATAATATGAAGGATGTATAAAGTTGTTACAATTATTAACTTTTAAATAAAAATAAAAATTTCATAACAAAATTACTTAAAATTTTAACGTGTCATAATTTTTTAAATTTTATTTTTTTTAATATATAAAACTCTTTAAAAATATTAAAAAAATAAATTCCATCTATTTAGTGTACAAAAGTCTTTAAAAAACTTAAAAAAAAGAGTTTCATCTCTTTAACTTACAAAACTCTTTAAAATAATAAAAATTAGATTTATACCTTAAAGGTACAAAAAAACTCTGAACAAATAATTTATTTTAAAATAATATTATAATAATTAGTCTTTTAGAAAATATAAAAGCCCAATTTTTTTAATATTCTTTTTGTTTTTTTATTTGTCAAATTTTAATGATAAATTTATTTATTTACCTATTTCTTTAAAAAATTTAAAATAATATTATTTTTAATTGTACAATTATTTTAATTCTTAAATACTTGACGCTTGAATTATAAAAAAAATACAAAAGATACCATACTTCGACTTTTACGCGGCATTTATTTTTGGACAGAAGTAACTAACATTTCATGAAAAAAAAAATCTATTTTTTTATTGAAACAAACTAACATTTCTTCTATTTATTACGTTATCATCGACTTTAATGCTGTATATTTTGGGACAAAAACAATTTTTCTAGGAATTTACTTTTTTTTATTCTTACGAGACAAAACAGTAAAATTATAATTTTAAACTATTTGAGGAAATAATAAGAATTACCACAATTAAAAAAAGAGATGCAAGGGCCAAATTGAAAAAAGAGAAAGATTCAAATGACTGGAATCAATTAAAACTAATACGCTACATTTTGATTTATTCTTATATAGCACTTTTAAGCTTCAAGGTAATTGTCTAGTTACAAATCCAGCCTTCCCTATGAGTTAATACCCCTCCAATCTCTTCAACTCCCACTCAACTTCATCAAAAAAGAAACAGGTTCATAGCTGTGTATATGCAAGAACAACACCCCCTCTATCCCTCCTCCAAAACTAATCTTGTTGATTCACAAATACAACAATACAATGTGCATATTGCATCATTGGCATTAGGGATGCATCATTCAACCTTTGCTACCACTTCACCAGGCAAGCTGCTTTCTACAACCGTTTCCCTTACAAATCTGGGAATTCAAAGAGTACGAAAATTACTGGAGTGAATAAACAAAACAAGAAAGGAATGTTTATACAAGTTGAACCAAGAATGAAGTACCTTTCCAATTTGTCACGTGATGATTGCAATACGTAAATTGAAAGGATGAAGGACAACATGAGTCCTGGATTTATAAGCAGTAACAACAAAATGCACTCTCAGTAAAATACAACGCTATTTATAATTCACCCTGCCCATGTTATAAAAAAATCAAGTAATTTCAACCCTCAGCTTAAAAAAAACGCATATTCTTGTAATTATAAGAGTCAAATCACTACTAATACTATTAAAAACAATTTTGGTGCAGCCAGGTATTTTGTCTTTTACCAAACATATGGCAGATAAGGGTTACCAAAATAATTGCTCTCTAGTCAATGGATTTGTGCGAGAGAATAAAGGAAGTCAGTATTCCCAACTTACAAGAACAAAATACTCCATGAAAGCTAACAACTCTCTCTGTGTGTGCATGTGTCTGTGTGTGTATGGGAAAATCTAAATGTTACCATTAGGTAAAACTTAAAGGACCGGATAGTTTTAGTTGAAAAGTTAACACTCACGTGACCCACTATTCTCCCTAACGTTTCCCTCCCCCACATCTTCTATGCAAGAATTCGGCTTAGCAAAAAGCGTAGATGCTAACAGAATTCACTGATGCAAGGAGTCACATCTTGCTTATTTATAGATCTATACTTACTCTTATAATAAATGATTAGGTAAAATCTGGGCCAAAAACATAAAATTCATTGGTGAAACACGGCAACCCTTAATGAATTGATAAGATTTAGGGAACCAAGATTAGATTGAATATTTCAGGCGATAAGGCAGAATGAATTTTGGGCAAAAGCTGTTACACATGTTTGGAACCAGAAGGAATTTTGGGAATCCATGAAAAGGAAATTACGATAGAATCATAAGGTGATTTGGCCAAAGCAATTTCAGGAACCTGCTGAAACATGGAACCGGAATACAGGGAGAGGAAGGGAGGGAGAGCAGAGAGTCACATGAGCATTTTTTTATTTAAAAAATTAACTCTGTCCCTTTATTTTTGTCCAAGGATGATAATAGAATATTGTCATTTCTCACAATAATCATGTGTTCACACTTGATTTGTCCCATATATTTAAAGAAAGGTGAAAAAGGTATTTATTTACCTGAACCAAACAGAACCAAAAATCCTGAAGTTACATCTATCTCCGATTGCTCCTTCCTGAAATATTTAAGATGGCATCCTGAGAAATTTTATTTTTCCCCTCAAATCTATAATACATAAAATGCTGAAAGACTAAAGCATATATTTTAAAATTCAAAATGCTAGGTTACTTTTGAAGGGTAAAAGTTGATGATTTAGATGCATTTAATTCCTACACTACATGTATATAACTGGACAAGGTTTATTGTCAAGTTTCAGAACAGCAAACCAGAAAGAAATCAAATAAAGGACCACGTAGTAACAGCAACTTTTGCCATAAACACTACTATTTAAATTACAATTTGTTTACTAAATCATTAAAATAAATATGAAAAAAAGGTGTTTGGACATTCTATACAAATATTGGGAAAAAAAGGGGGAAAAAAAAACTCCAGAAAATTGATATTATTATATATGATGTGTGCAAAATGCTAAACAGTGGTAAAATGGTAGGGTAGTACTGGTAAAAGTCCCCCAGAATAACACCACTAGTATAACAAGGTTTCAAAGTCAATGAGAATAAGAATCCCAACATTATAACCCACTCCCTAAATGCCAGAAAATTGGGTCAAGGGCTTGACTAGCAATAAAATAGTTCAAAAGTAATGTTGACCATCTATATATGAAAAATGAACATATATAGCTGCAACTCAAATAACACACACCATGTATATCGGACAATTATATGCTTTGGCCAATGCTGAGCATCCCAGAATTGTTTACGAATCTCAGGTTGAATCTCAACATCTGTAATGGTAAAACAAAAGCTGTAAGCCCAATCAAAGGCTCAAAGTCCTCTGAGTTATAAAAGCATAGCTTAATTAATCATATTACCGAATGTTCCTCGTAAGTATACCAGATTATCAGCACATTGAAATTCATTTAAGTAAAGCAGTATCAACTTATTTATAATTTACTATGAAAGGCAAGGTCTACAGAATATTAAAGTTCCACAGAATCAGTTTCACTACCAATATTTTAAGTATATTTATCTACACTAACTACATGTTTCTCAAAATTAATCAATAACAATGAATGGAATGCCTTCAGACAGTAGTAAGAAAAAGAAGTGTCTTCACTAAACATTTAAATACTGTCATGGGGATTAACAGAGAATATTAAATGCAGATATGGGTACATCCGTACATGAATATATCAGATGACAATTGAAACTGTATAAGGTAAGTAAAATTTATAAATTATACAAGTAGAATGATCACCTTATAAAAAGAAAATAAAAAAGCTTAAATAAACATAAAAACTAGGGGAAATGATGATTTAAATGGTTAACGGTGACAAATTTCCACAAAACTTAGGAACAGTGAATAAAATATCTCTTGGATCCACAGAACTTAATGATGTTTTCAAATGTATGATTAGAGAAGAACAACATACAGTGATGAGGCATATCCACAACTTTTGCTGTGACACCATGCAAATCACTTCCTGAATACCTCTGCATGACATTAAAATTTCAGTTAATTCATTTCCGAGCAACAAATTCTCTGTTTTATTGTTTAGCATCCGTGGTGTTAGTCACAAAATACAAGTTGGATAGTTAAAATGGAAAAAGGTATCAAGAATTATTTGTGACCGTAAAATAGCTATCAAGCTGAAAGAAAAATTTTATCATATAGCAATATGACCAGCTATCGTTTATGGTAGTGAATTTTGGGTCTTAAAGGAACAACATGAGAAAAAAATAGGAGTGACCAAAATGAGAATGCTAAAGTAGATGAATGAACACACGAGAAAGGAAAAGATATAAAATGACAGTATACGAAAGAATATTAGTGTAGACCTATAATGAAAAATATGACTGAAAATCGGCTAAGGTGTTTTGGTTATGTGCAAAGAAGACCTTTGGATGTGCAAGTAAGGAAAGTGAATGGCATGACTCTTAGTCCGATAAAGAGGGACCGAGGGAAACCTAAAAGAACTTTAGACAAAGTTATTAAAAGAGACCTTTTGATTAACTAGATCTATGGAAGTTTGGTTTTTGATTGAACTCAATGGCGTTGTGTGATCCATGTAGTTGACCTCACCTAGTGAGATAAGGCTTGGTTGTTGTTGTTGTTTTGTATTGTTTAGCATCCATGGACTCAGAGTCAGATAATCCAGTACAATAATTGGATAAGCAGAACAAGATCATGTACATGCCTATCATGAACACAAAATTACCAGATCTACTTCAAGCATTGGAACCTCTGTACTTTTCCGGTTCACCACAAGAAGCCATGGGATTAAAAATTTCTCCCTTCCAACTTGAAATGATCTGCAGATAAATTCAAAATAATGAAAATTATAATCACTTTTTATCTTGCAGTTTAAGACGGGGGAAGACTAGACAAAATCAGATAACAACAATGCAATCCTCCATATGGTATATGACTAGTAAGATTACACAAATAATTTCATTTCATCGTGTTTAGTAAATGATACATTATTGCTTAATTTCCTATGACAACCATTCCAACTTCACTTCTCTCACCAATGTACTATAAGAAAATCACCACCCCTTGCCAGCACTCTACTCATTTTATGTGGTTAAAATTCCACAGCGTCAGATTCAACCGCGCTGCATCTTCAGATTTTCATTTTATCTAACATTTCAGCCTAATCATTCCCAGAACAGAGAAAATCAACCAGTGAAGCACCATTCTTCCACAGAGAATAAGTATTACTATAAACAAAATCTTCATTTTAAAAAAGAGTCACAAAACAAATTAACATCCGAAACTGATGCATTACCTTTACTTCTTATTTAGTCTGAATTTGCATTAACTGAAGCTGATAGTCAAAATCTTTCTGAGTTTTTTGGAGGAAAACTTAAAAAAATAAAATAAAACAAAGAGTCGATTATTTTTTCCGTCATAATTTAACCAAATATAGAAGACTATTAAAAATCAGATCAACGTAAAAGGCACAAATTATACAGAAGAAAAATTCTCACATTTTATAAGGATCAGCCCCAGTGAAACCCGTAGGCTTGGGTATGGGCATCAACACCTACAAATCCCATCATTCCCAGAAACAACCAATTAAAAATCGCAATAAACAAACAAATTAGATAATAAAAAAAAAGACATTTAGAAAACCCTAATTTAACGAAGTCAGAAGATGCGCACCTCGCGATTCACTGCGAAGATGGGGCAATGGCGGCCAATGAGGTCCTGCCACTGGGTTCGCGACTGCAAGAGCGAAAAATGAAAACAACTTAGAGATGAAACGGCACCGTATGGAAAAAGAAGAGAAGTGTGAGCAGGGAAATGGGGGCGAACGGAGTGGTATTGACCCATGCGGCTCATGGGGACGATGTCGCCGGGTCTGTAAGCAAGAGCGATCGAAAGGAGCGACGGCAACAGCAGTAGCAGTGACGGTGATAGTAGCGGCTTCACGGTAGCTGCAGCCATGGCTACCACTCAAGTCTCTAAGCTTCAGCTTGAAACAGGTTTCGAACCTTCACTCACTCACTCGTGTTATCGTCGCGTTCCGTTTTGGAGCCTTTTTTTTTTTTTTTTGTTAATCTCCTTTTTGGTTGTTCAAGCACTTCGCTGATGGAACTTTTTTGGGCCCAGCTATGGCCCGTTAGTGATGGCCCAATAGGTTTAGTCTGCTAATTTCTAAGACAATTTTCTATTTACGGACATTTTTTGTAAGTATTGACCAAAAAAGAGGACATGTTTTGTTGAAAAAGGAACAGTAATCAAATCCTGTTATATGTAATTATCACACCTTTACTCCTTCCTCCACCCATATTTCTTGGACTAAAATAAAGAAAGTCCTGTGTTAAAAAACTTATTGATGAGCATCACACTACCACTCAGTATTTAATATATTTATTGACAAAACAAAAAGCATTTAATATATTTTTTTCTAAAATGAAAAAAATGGTGAGTTAATTATTGGCATTCTTATGATATTATTTTTCGTTTAACATTTTTTTCTAATTTTTATTTTAGGAAAATGATTTAAATGCAAAAAAAAATTAATAATCATAATACTAAGTATTTATCTATACTATATATACAAGAGGATTTATCAAAGGTGAAATCTTTCAAGTGTCTCTCTATGAAGCATTTGGTTCTTTTTTTCAAAATTATTGCCTCCCTCATTAACTAATAACATTTTTTTTTATATTTTTTTATCTATAAAATTTTGTTTTAAATACTCTTTTCATTCACCTATTTTTCAACCAATAAAACTTTTTAAAAATAATTCCAATAAAACTAGAGAGTAGATAACTTTTGAGTTTGAAATTCAAATCTCTTTAACTCTTTCTTCTTGCGGGGAATCTCATGATTTTTCTTTTCTTTATATTCTTTAAGTTAATTTATTTGTTTTAGAAATGGAGAATAATGTGAATCTCAGTCTTTTTCATTCTTAATTTAATTTTTTTTCTTTTACTTTTATAATTTTTAATAAATTTTAGTAAATAATTAAAAATTTATTAAAAAGAGTGTATTGGATAAGTTGTTATTAGCTTTCCTTATTTTTTGTTATGAACACAGTAGATCCTCTTCTTCAAACAGCTTTCGTTCTTCATATTCTGCGAAGATTCCTTTTCTCGCAATCCTCGATCATATTTCAGCGTATATATGTTAAAAAGATTCAAATTGGTCACTCTACATTGAGCTCTCTAATGTTATTGGTAATTGGGATTACATTATTATATAGAACTCGCACATAAACTAATATTCTATGGCGCACAAAGATTCTTGATCTACATCTAAGAAGTCATTGGTAGGTTCACCTAATAACCCAATCACACAAAGACAAAGTGTGGGGGGAAGGTAGAACAACAAGCATCAAAGCTTAACAAATCAAGAACCAATGAATGAATGCAATCAAATTGGAGGTGGTGCATAACATACTTTGGGTTGAAAATCACCACAAATTGATTTGACAACCACAACAAAAAGAATGAATTGTTTTGGTAGTGGTTACAATACCAAGGTGATTGTGCCTTTAGTTGACAATCGATCACTTCTTCTTGATAACCTCTATGCCTTCATTCTCCACCATATTCACCTATCACTTCCACTTCTCAATTTTATTGGTTCATTTTGTTAACTACACATTGAAACTTATCTATCACAACTTCAACTCCTCCTCTCTCTCTTTCTCTTACAAACATATCTTAGATTTTTCTTAGCTAGGTTGCACCTGTTCATCAATTGGTTTATCGAATCACAGATTGAACCAATAAAAACATACCAAATTCACCAAGTCATTATGGAATTAATTTGAGATAATGCTCATATTAATAAGATGACTAATTCACTAATTTATCAATCAAGTTAACTAATTTGAAAATTTATAATTTATTAAATTTGAGGTGATAAGTCCTTTTTTAAATTTACAAATTACTCGTGAATGTAGTTAATAATATGATTACTATAATTTTGTAATTATAAAACAATTTTGAAAATAAATTGTCCTGTTTAACAATCAAGTCAAACCAATAACTCATTAAAAGATTTGCAATGATACTTGCCAAAGAAAAACTTTATTAATAAGAACTTACAAAACTAACATTTCAAAACAAATTTATAAATATTGTTTTTCATCTTCTTTCAAGTTGATTATTAGGAAAGATAGTTGAATTTAGATTAAACCGATATATGTTAAAAGTATTGAAAATAAGGTGGAAATTTATTCAGTAAATAAATTTGAGTCTAACTACAAAGATTTAATTAACAAAATTTATAAAATAGATGAACATATAAGTATATAAGTATTAAATTTTTTTTAAATACAAATATGGGAGGATATATATTTGTTATTACCACAAATAAATAGTAGTTATTATCACCAACGTTGAACAGCATACGCTGAAGGAAAAAGGCTTTGGAACAGGGATGTTTGCGGATTAGATGAAATTAATTTTTGCATGAAAAGTTATTTTATTTTATGATAAATTATAGCGTGATTTGCTTTGGATAAAAAAATGATCCAATTAAAAGCCGATTGAATCGAATAATTTTATTTTTAATTATTTTAAAAAGTAAATTATTTTATCATTTTTACACTATATTTAAATAAATTTAATTTTATATAAAATATAAAGTTATATAAAAATTATGATATACAAAAATAATTTAAATTATTATCAAAATATACTTAAATAATTATAAAAATAATAAAATGTGCCCTAAAAAATAAAAATATAGTATAAATTTAAAAATAAAATCATAAAAAAAAGTTCAGTATCTTAAACTTTTAATATATAATTTTAAAATGAAGGGACGGTCCCTTTTTAAAAAAGGCTAAAATATTACTTCCCCCTGTTTAGGGTTTGACTTACGAACTGACAGTCAAAGATTAAAAAAAAATTAAAAAATAAGCTGTTAGATTAATTAATGGATTTACAAATTAGTCTATTCAAAAATAATTTTTAAAAATTATAAAATTAATGAATTTAAACTAATAGTAATTAACTAATAAATAAAAATAACTATAAATTTCAACTAACAGATTAATCTATTTTGATTTATCATTTACCCATAAGTTAAAACAGGATAAGCTAGACAAATCGGTTAATGTAAAAAGCCTAATCTACTATTCTAAATGAGTTAAACGAAATAATCCGTCTTAACCTGTTTTTAATGTTATAATAGAATAATAATTTATTAAATAGTTCAAATTACAACAATACTATTACACCACACAAGCATGCATTGGATATAATTTTATTATTATTGTTATATACTATTTCATTCTTGTATTAGATTTGACAATATTTTACACCGAACCAGTTCAACCTATCATGAATATACTGATTAAACCATTAACCCAATCAGCTAGTACCAGCAATCGATGACTGCTGGATCGAGTTTAATGACACCGATTTTATCATTAAATAAAAATTATCATTTTTTATTTTTTTTGTTTCTCTTGACAGATAAATAAAACCATGTGTAGTAGATTTAGAAATTTGAGTGCGTGGTTAAGATTATTCTCCGCAAGTTGCTGTACTGTGTTTCTCTGTAGTTTTTATTCTATGTGCTCTTCCATTCTCCGGGGTGCAGCAACCATTGTCGCCGCTTTTACAAGCAAAATAGGCAAAGAGCAATTCAAAGTACGTCTTTAATGGCACTGAAAGCTACAAATGCAAAGGCATGCATGCATGGCCATTAATTGTTGTCTCTGTGATGACATTGGCACCATTAGCTCTATTATTGCCACCAATGAGCACAGCAAAAGCTTAAGCCAGTTGGGAGCCAAGTTGGCGATGAAAGGATCCATTTAATATATATCTGGCCAAGAGAATAAGACTTGCCTACCAATTGAGAAGAACATAAGTTATTGGCTACGTGTTGTTATGCCTTGAAAAAAACATGGTAACCTTCATGATCATGATGCACCTTTCTAGCTATCCAAATCACACCCCAAATAGCCAATAGGATATATCTCAACTCAATTTGGAAATGTTACCCGGGGATATACCTCGTTATTTTTTATATATGAAGAGGAATTATTTAGATCAATATTATTTTGGTTATATTATATTCTTATATTGTTAATATATAACTTTACTTACAACGGTAATGAAGTGAAATAAAATTTATTGGGATGATTACATAGATAAATACTTGGTGATTATTTAACTTTAATTACAACTGTAAATTAAAATATAAATTTAATCTTATTACTAAACTCGTAAATTAACTAATAAAAAATCTTAAATTTGAGTGAAACAACAGTGAAATAATCTCAACAATATTACCTGTAATGAAAAGTATCTATGTAAATAAAAAAACAAATTTATTTCTTATTTTTTATGATAACCTATATGTGTTTTTTTTCTTTTAGTAATTTTTATATTCGACTTTAGCTATCTAATTTTTACTTCTTACAATTAAGTTCTTTATCAATTTATTTTTGTACAAAATTATTATATCTTTATTGTAATAATTAGGGTTTATGACTTATTTAAAATATGAAATTATTTAAAAGGTTTTAAATATTAATGAATTTATAAGATGTGAAGTTATAGTTTTCAAAAAGATAAATATTTGTATTTTTTTTATTTCAAGTAAAATATGCTGTTTTTGATCGGTGAGTTTTAAGTGAAAAGAAGTTTAGATGATTTAAGAGAATTAGTTTAGTTCATGAAAATTTTGAAAATAAAATTAGAATTTAAGAGTTAAAAAATAAACTAATGAAAAAAATTATTATAATAATTAAAAATATAAATTTAAACAAAAATTATTTTGAGTTGAATTCACAGATTAATTATTCTAATATAATAATTAATATTTTTGTTACAATATAATAAAATATTTTTAAATTAATAATCAAAGACATTAATTATAAATAAAATTATTTGCCATTATACACTAAATTTTAGTTTCCTTTTTGCTCATAAAGAAATTAAGAAATATTTTTATTAAAAAATACTTAAATGTCTTGAATATTTTTGTGAAAAATAATATTTAAAATGTAAGATGTACTATATTGTATATTATTTTTTATATTTTTATTTAAGGTCTTTTTATGTAAGATAAGAAATATTTATATAAACAATTTAAACATATTTTTCTTTTAAATATCATGTTTAATATAGTTTTATATTATGATTCTATTAACTTCACCTTTTAAATTTAATTTTAAACATTTAAAGATAATAGCTTTTTATTGAAAATGATAACATTAACTAAGAAAAATTTTTATTAATGAAAATTAGTCCGAGTGGTAAGTAGTTTGATATCATTTAAGTAAATTTTTAAGTTTAAATTCTTGTGTATGCAAAAAATCTCCAATAATAGACTTACTTCCTATATCTAGCTGTGTGACTCAGGTCAGATCCGTAAGCAAAATTACATCTATAGTGTGATTAAGGCACCCTACCTATACCGGAAAAGTACATTGCATATCCAAATTTTCTTTGACCTGTATATATTACTCAATTAAATTCTTAATAGGGTATTATTGGTTGCAGATTGACGCTGGTGTGGTTGAAAACAATTTGAATATCTAGTGCTTAGCAAGTAGCTTTCATGTATATGTTTTTTTCTATTTTCAAGATTGTAACATCTAATATAATCTAAAGATAGGATATCATTGCCTATCGTCAACAATTCTTTTGGGTGGTAAGAAATCGATTGAGAGTTTTAATCATTTGACACATCAATTTGGACTTGATTCTACATTCTAGATCAACCTGAGCTTAAAAGTAGTTTTCGAAAATTGATCAATTATTCATACCAAAACGATAAACGAAACCATGACCTATGCATTTATTTTTGGTAAATTTTATGGTAACCTAATGTTTGACTGGGGTTAAGTTACTGTATTGATAATTTTTTCTAAATATTTAATATAATTATATTTATTACAATTTAAACTCAAATTTATAGATTAATCTAGAATGATTTAGATGCTCATTTGTAGTTATCGTATCGAAATGAAGCAATTAAATATTTTTGCCTAGCATTTATATCTCATGTCAGCAATGAGTTCAGCAAATTATTGTATTTAAAATTAATAATTTTTAAAATTTATATATTTGGAAAGGATAGAAAGAGGAGGAGAAAGAGTTGTTTTTGTAGATACTATATTTTCTTTTAAATCGGTATTTGTTAGTAAACCTGCAAAATCATTGTTATTCATTGTTGATCTTCGGGAGAAAAAGTAGGATCAATTTGGTACCATTGGCCATGGCATCGCTAACTTTGAAATGCTGAACGTAGATAAATATATTTGAAGTTAATAATCTTTTAGATTATAAAAATATAAAATAATACATTAGCATAAATTTATTTATATAATTATTGTCAATATTTTTAAAATTAGACTGGTGATTAAATCGATAAAAATACTAGCCCAAAATTCAAATGGTTCAATGGTGGATTGATGGTTAAACTGGGCCAAACCAGCAATAATTAAATTATATTTTTAATATTATATTATAAATTAAATAACAAATCAGTGTAAATTTTTGAAAAAATTAAGTAAAGTTTTAAGTTAATATAAATTCATATTTCATATTTTATTAGATACAAATTTACAAGAAATAGTTAAATAATAGTAATTCATATATAAATAATATATGAGTCTTCATTTATTTAAAAAAATCATCCATTTAAAAAATTTGATTTTTTTTTTTTTAAATCAGTTCGGATGGTTTTCTAATATCAGTTCATAGTTGATTTTGACTAATTGTTGACTCATTTTTTGTTCCACCAATTTTTTTAAATGTTTCAAACGGATGACCTAATTAGTTCCTAGTTTAACCGATTTCGTCTTGTCTAATTTTGGAAATTATAATTATTATCGCAAATAATATATAATTCTATTAATTTAAAAAAAAATAACCTCATCCTTTAAAAAAATTATCCTAAACAACCTCTTAATTAAAAAGTACTTACACACCGGTAACTTTAGTCGTTGCTCTGAAAAATTAAAATATTACATTATTCAATGAAATATTTTTATTACTGAATGTATTTTAAACAAGTTTAAATACAAAATATAGTCATTAATAAAGGATGAAATACGAAAATGAAAAGAAATTTATATAAAGAATTAAAGTAATTGTAAAATTTGGACTCAAAAGTCGAACTGCATGGGTAGGAACAAATCGTTGCCCCCTCAATTTTAAGTCATTCAAATTTTTGTTCACAGAATTTTGATTAACTTTGATGAAAATGATTGTAACCATGAATTAAAAGATCTTCATGATGATGGTCGATGACTCAAGTTGAGGCGTAGAGGGAGGAGTGACCACAGCTAAAGTTGCCACTTCTGATTGTCTGAACCACTTGACTATACAATAATATCTCAGCTTTAAAATATTATTTTTAAAATATATTTTATTTATTATCATTATTAAAATATTTTTAGTGAGTAAACAAAAATTCAAAAAAGTAAAAATTTAATTTATAAAAATTTAAGGCTATTTGATTGCTTGATCCCTGTGAGACTTGAAATAGTTTATCATTTAATGTTTGGCACAATAATCAAGAAAAATATTACATGTTTTAACGACTTTATTAAAGTGTTTCTTTTGTTCTAGGTTCTAGCTATAAGAGGGAATTCTTATTGAATTAAGAACATTAAAAGTATGATGAGACTGGTCTTCTTAAGGAAAAAAGAAAGAAAAAAAAAACTTTCATACATAAGATTTAAATTCAAAACGTTATTTTAAAAGAAATCAAGGATATATCATTTGAACTAATTTTTGCTGATCCTTGCCCTTTAAAAGTAATACTCGTTTTTAAAATATTTAATAAAAAGGTGTTTCATTTAAGATATTAAAAACTAAAACAATTAATCTTTTAACATTTTTATTTATAAATTATTAATAAGTGCTTTAAATATATTCATGTTAGCATTTGACTTTGATTTAATAAAATATGTATTTATTTGACGATATTCTAAATATTAATTTGATGTTTTTTAATATTGTGAAGTAATAAATATGATATAAATTTAAAATTTTATTAAAAATATATTTAAAGCAATGATTAAAGTAATAAAAGTTGAAAATATTTGCATTTTTTTACACTTTAGCAATTTTACTATGTTCATCTTTTATCATAATTTTATAAAATTATCGAACTTTTTTTAATTTATTTTTATTAATTTGTATTTGTTTGAAGAATGTATTTCTTGAATAATATAAAAAACGATGAGTATAATAAATGATTAATATATACTTTTTATAAAAATTAAAATAAATTATTTTAAATTCTCATATAAAATTTAAAACCTTATAAAAATAGAGTATATAATAAAGATAAACAAAATATATTATATTAAAAATATTTACTAAAATTTGTAGAATGTCCTTAATTAGTCTTCATTACAAAATATTTGAAGTGACAATCATTTTGCAATTTTGAGCCCTATTTAAATTTAGACTTTAGTGATTTGTTTATGATCAAATCACAAAGGGAAGAAAGGAATAGGCGAGGTGACAATTATTTTAAAATAAAAGAATAGTTATTTGAAATAGAAAAGCTCGATAATATGTGAACAAAGACAGACTCATCTTATCCAAACCGGATATCTTTCTCGTCTCAATAATCACAGGAATAATGATTAGGTGATATCCCATGTTCCATTAATAAAATTAAGTGGATCTAACTTATTCAGAATTAATACAAAAATTAACTTAATAAGAAAAAATGTTAAGAATTATAAATTTTTTTTAATATCATTAGCATCCCTCCATATATGTTTTTTGGTATAAAGGTATTTTTCAGTTAATAATCAAAGATTAATTTTTTTTTAAATATTCAGACAGGCTTTGCTATCGAAGTAATTTTATACGGGTTGAACATAATTGTTTCTAGTTATGTGTTGTTTTTTAAAAAATAATTTGTTTTTAAAATGTAAATATTCAAAATAATCTTTAACATTATTTCCCATACACTGTCAAAACTTAAACCCTAGTAGCATCACTATCACAAAAAAAGGACCTTTATTAATTGTGAAATTTCAAATGTTCCACCAAAGTGACAAACTGTTACTAGTTGTATTTTAAAAATTATTAATATCCGTTTTTTAAAAAAAAAAGTATAATGGAAATATTTATTAGATTAAAAATATAATAAATGTGTTTTTAATAAAAATTTATTACTTGTATGTACTTAACACAAGCTTCAACGACAAATTTAACAACACGATATTGTTGATTCCTATTCAATCGTGAAAGAGACGTAACCAATTTCCTCATGTGCTCTAAATTCTACACCATTGAACATTACACCAACCACCACCCTCTTCTACATTCCACAATTCACATCACCAAATTTAAATTGAAAAATTAAGTACAGTTTTTTAAATTTTATGAGTACTATTTATCAATTAAAGTTAATGTATTATTTTAATCATTTATAATAACATTAAATATAAATATTTTTAATAATAAACAACACATTAATATCTTAAAAATAACATATAATTTTTTTCCATAAGACTCCTGATTTAATTTTACCTTCTCTCTCTCTCTCTCTCTCACTCGCCTTAATCTCATCTTTCATAACCATAAATGTTTCTATCAAAGCATGCATACCCACCAGTACTTCAAATATTGCAGCCATGTTTCCATGGCATGTCTCTTACATGGTCTTTTCATTTTCTCAGCGACTCTACAACACTCTTTGTCTACAATAATCCTCATCATAAAAAAGCACCAGCTAATAATTAACTAACACCCCTGGGCTCAAAATTCACACTCTCTAGTTTGGTCTCATTCCGGGTCACAAATCATAAACATTATAAATTTATTATTCATGTCTGATTTATACACAACGGTTTCTTTGTCCTCCTATCTTCCAAAAGAATCTTAAAGTGTGTTATTACTCTCTGTCTCTTTGTCTGTGTTTTCTTTCTCTTGAAACAGTTGAGCCAATGGTTAACATGCCCATAAACGATTTTTCACGTGGGGTTGTTGAAATGACAAGGTTAATGCTTAGTGTTGACTACTCAAGGCTCTTCTGGCTTTTATTTGGCGTTTTCTCCTATCAGAACCATGAGAGGAAGCCTCGGATTTTCTAGCACCCACTTTCAAAAGCTTCTTAGCGTTAGCATGAGATTATATATAACTGTATTGTTCTGTAATTGCTGAATATTCTGAGTACTCGATTATATCATATATATATATATATATATATACACACACACATTAATATATATAGGGATGGAATTTTCTGATACAATCAATACAGCCATGTACAAGGGAAGATTTTGCACTAGTGGTGGAGTTAAGGCTCAGCTTGGATATGTTGAAACTGATCCATCTGGTCGATATGGCCGTGTAAGTGTTTTTTTTTTTTTATTGGTTCTTATTTCTCATCTTGCTGGCTCTTGTGAATTGGGTCATGATTTTTGTGACTAATTGACGTGCTATGTGGCATAAGCTTATAAAGTTGTTGAAAAATGAATTAGTGGATGTTCTAGGCTAATTAATGCCTAATGGGTGTTCAATTTGAATTGAAAATTTAAACTGAATTTTAAATTACACGGGAAATTCACATACTTAAGAACCTTTTAGAGGTACTTGAACAGTAGTTTGTATGTGCAAGTTGGTTTTACCTTTTAGATCTACTACTCTAATTCTAATATTAGCCTATTTGAGCTATTAAGTATAGTTTGCGTGACTTCTGCTTGAGTTCGATAGTTCTAAAGATGCAAAATGAATGAAGCTTACTATTTAGTAATAATTAATATCCATAGTTATGTTTGAGCATTTATGTAATATGTTGTTACGTGTCAAATAATCTAATTCACTTGGTGTGTGTTGGTGCTTGCAGTTCAGGGATATTCTGGGCAAAGGAGCTATGAAGACTGTGTATAGGGCATTTGATGAATTACTAGGAATTGAAGTGGCTTGGAACCAAGTCAAGCTCGGTGATGTCTTTCATTCACCAGAGCAACTTCAGCGCCTTTATTCAGAAGTTCATCTCCTTAAGCACCTTGACCATGAATCTATGATGATATTCTATGGTTCTTGGATCGATGTCAATAACAGAACCTTCAACTTCGTCACTGAATTGTTCACCTCTGGCACCCTCAGAGAGTAATCAATCATTCCCTGACCCTTGTTAATTAATCCATTTATCCCTTCATTTTATATATATCTATGTTTTTCATAGGTTTATATAATTTAATTTATTTTAACATGCTACATATTTTATATATATATAGGTATAGACAAAAATATAAGCGAGTAGATATCCGAGCAGTTAAGAATTGGGCTCGCCAGATTCTAAGTGGTTTGGAGTACTTACACAGCCGTAGTCCTCCTGTAATACATAGAGACCTCAAGTGTGACAACATCTTTGTCAATGGCCATCAGGGTCAGGTCAAGATTGGTGACTTAGGTCTTGCAGCTATACTTCGAAGCTCCCAACATGCCCATAGTGTCATAGGTAAATCTCTCTCTCTCTCTTTTTTACTAGTTACATTACATGTAACTAATAAAGAATAAAAGGGTGTCAGAGAGTGTGTATTTAACACTCAAATATGCAAATTGATTCCTTAATATGTCAATTTGTAAAAACTGCTACTTTTGGAATTGTTTTTTTTTTAATAAAAAAAAGTAAAAATTTGAAACTTAAAAGAACCAAAGCAACACAAGTATTCATTTTCAGGGACCAAAATTACATTCAGTAACGTAGACCATGTTTCTATAAACTGAAATTTTGTGTTTGATGTGAACCATCAGGTACACCAGAGTTCATGGCACCAGAACTGTATGAAGAGAAATACAATGAGCTGGTAGATATATACTCCTTTGGTATGTGTATGATAGAGATGCTTACTTTTGAGTTCCCATACAGTGAGTGCTCCAACCCAGCTCAAATATACAAGAAAGTTACTTCGGTAAGCTTAACTAGACATTGGAATAGCACTTCCTTATATATTCTCGTTTTCCCTTCATTTAACATGAGTTCCTTAATTTCTTAAACTTTGGCTAATTTAATGTACCAGGGGAAGCTACCCGATGCATTTTACAAAATCCAAGATTCGGAAGCCCAGAAATTCGTGGGAAAATGTTTAGCAAATGTCTCTAATAGACCATCAACAAAGGAACTTTTATTGGACCCATTTTTAGCCACGGATCAACTTGAATCACCATGCATACCGTTATCTACAAATCAAACTACTAAGCTCAACTACACTGCAGTATTTCCCAGTGAGAATCTTCCACCTTGTGATCTAACAAAGAGCGCAGATATGACAATCACAGGGTCAATAAACGAAGAGGACAACACAGTTTTCCTCAAAGTGCGGATATGTGACAAAATGGGTATGCGCAGTTTCATCTCAAAATTTGTTTTTTTTTTTTTTACAACATTTCAAGTCTCTTACTCAAGAGTTTTGTTTCCAATTCAGGGCTAACAAGACACGTGTTCTTTCCATTTGACACAATAAAAGACACTGCTATTGAGGTGGCAATGGAGATGGTACAAGAACTTGAAATTACCCACTTGGAACCATTGGAGATTGCTGCAATGATAGATCATGAGATATCAAGTTTGGTTCCAAGTTGGAGGGATCGGGTTAAGTGTCACCATCAACGACAATACAGCTTTAACTATGAAGAAGATGAGGATGTGAACAACCATCATCCTTTCTTCATATCATCTTCTCCATCATCCCCCCATGGGTCTCTCCACGTGTCTGCTTCCCCCTCCAAGACCCACTTGCGTGGAAACCATTACCCTTTCACTCAAGAATGGCCTCAAGGTACATATGTTTATTTTTACAGCTTATGCTAGTAAATATTGTATATATTAACTATTTCATTTAGTCTTTAACTTCGTAAAATAATATTCACTTTATTCTTTAACGTTAATAAAAAATTTAGGTGGAAAAAACTAAATTTCAAGAAACAATTATTGAGGATCTTATATTTAGCACCATCTAATAATAATAATAACCCAGTGCTACTATGAACTATTCGTAGATGATCTATTTATGAACGACGACACAGGCTCTCAAAGTTCAATGAACTCCTTAAAGTGTTCCAATTTCCAATACTGCGAGCCAGCCCATAACGAAGACGAGCCCGGCCCAACAGTTGCAGTAGAGAGAGGCGAACCAAACAAGTGTACAAGAAAACACGCAGCAGCAACTAGTTTCACGAAACAGTTTCAGTACCCGACGAGAGTGGACCCTTGCAGTTGTAGATGTGGGTCGAGCCAAGGGTGCGCAAGGCTAACAAGGATTCGTTCGTGCCCACACGAGCGTAGGAGCCAGTTGCTTCAGCGTTCGCTAATGTTGGAGGAGATGTACAAATACAAGAGAAGGTTGTATAACACTGTTGGGGCCGTTGAGAACATTGGGTTTCGCCATCCAGAGAGAACTGCATGCTTAATCCCTCGTTGAACCTTTCTGATTTTGGTTTGTTAACAACAGCTCTGGTCTGTGAGTACAAGTATTAATAATCTTTGTAAAATGAATCCTGTAATTTATATGATAAGACCGTATCAATCTGGTCTTTATCTTGGATCCTCCCACCAAATTTAAACGATCAAAATCAAGTGATTTTATTATACCTTCGGTTGATATATTATGGTCAGTGCATAATTTTAGTTTCTCAATAATTTCCTTTCAGGACTGATATCTTTACACAAATCAATATAATTAATTATTTTTTGTCAGTACCCATCACAAAATATAATATTATTTCATCGATCAAGGTTGAATTAAATCCCTTTCCTATGAACTTCTACTTAGTACCCACCAATCATTATCCTATCAACAATCACAGAAAGATGTCAACATGAAGAAACTTTGCTACGATTCACATACAATCTCATTTATAGAGTAGAAGGTGCAAACAAACACTTGATAAAATTGCATCTACATCTCTAAAATACTGATCATACATAATAATACAGCACGGAAAGTTATTTCATTTGATTGACTCGTTGGGTATTTTTCTCAAAATGATTCAATGCCTTTGCTTTATTGACTGATGAGTACTAAAATATACCTTCTAATACACTCTTTTTATTACACAATAAATTGTTTTTTAAAATTTATTAGAAATTAACAAATATAAAAATAATTAAATTAAGAATGAGAACGAATCAACAATTAAGATTTTGTTAAAACAAATGTGCCAGAAAATTTAATGCTAACATTTTTTTGGTTAGTTATATAGTTTTATTCCTGGTCCTAAAAGAAAAGGCATGCAAATTTTATTATTGGTTTTCTTTTTTTCTTTTTGGTCCACATTATTCTTTCTTTATTTGCTTTAGGGTGGCCCAAGTCGAGTGGAACCAACAAGAAAGTAAGAAACAAGATAGGCCCATTAGCTCATGAAATGCACAGAAAAAGCATAACAGGCAGAAGACTGCAGCCTTTATATTTATTTTTCACTTTTCATCCCTCAAAGTCAGAGAACAATGAAAATCTATTAGCAGTTAAGCTTGCCTGCAGCAACCTACACCGCAGTCCATATAAACAAACCAAAATCTTGTCCCCAAATACACGTGGCACGAGGATAGACGTACGTCGAGGATACACAATAGACCTTCGCTGTAGGGAAGCACGTAATTCGAAAGTCGTGTTCCCCACGCGAAATGGAGTGCAAAGTGTGCAACCAACGAGAGGGTCCCTCGCGTTCCAATTTCAGCCTTCGAGAAAAGCTCCTTTCTAAATCTAACCATCATCGCCATTGCAACAATACTCCTTCATCGAATCATTTCTTCTCCCAACGACGTCGTTGCCGTTGCAACTTTCCATCACCATCATCTTTTCCTTCTCATTTCGTTGAAATCCTCGGCGGTGATTTCATGATTTATCCAATAACGCATTCATAGCAAAACATTCACAGAATAAATACGCAAACCACGTCGTTCCGTCCATCGCCAATTTCTTCATACGCAATCGCTTTCGAAACTCTCATCGGCGATTCGTTAAAACTCTCTAAAGAAACTTAAACGACGTCGTCGCCATTGCTATTCTTTTTCATGATCATCATTTTTTTCTCGCTTTTGAAATTCTCATCGGTGATTCTGATTTTTCACGCGCGGTAGTTTTTCCGCCGTAAAAAAAAAAAGGTTCAAACGACGTCGTTGTGGTGGCAATGCCGTTCGCGCGCTGCAACAGCCAGATTCCGGCGCCGCTGCCGTCACCGATCCCCACCGGCAGAGGCTCGCGCTCCGCCGCCAACGAGATCTTCAGCCAATTCCTCGAAAAGACGCTCCAGCTGCCAGAGCTGACCCTGCCAGGACATCAACTATCCCCGGCGCCGGCAGAGATCGATCTCCGGTCGCTGCCGCTTGCCTCCGGCGATATGATGCTGCGGTCCACCAGGGAGTTTGGCGCGTTCCGGATCCGATGCCACGGGATCTCCGGCAATCACTTGGGAACTATGGCGGACGAAGCCGAACGCGTTTTCCGAGAATCGAAAAACATCGTCGTTGAGCATGATGGACATGGTGGAGAGATGATTCCCTGTGTTCGCTCATGCAAAGGAGAGCTGGAATTCACCGGTCAAAACATAATCGGCGACCAAACACATCGGAACTTTTGGTATACATATATGCTCTCTTTGCTTTATTTATATGTTTGCAGATTGTCATCGTTTTTCACTTGTTTCGCATCGTGATTTTTGTTCTTTTGGATTTTACTAATTTTTAAATACACCTCTCTGCAATTAAGCATACTCTACTTCACATTGAAGAAACTTAAGAAATGCTTTATGTGATAGTAAATTTCCACTTTTGTTTGTTTTCTATCCAAAATAATTGTAACTTAATCTTCATCATGGAAATTTCAACAAAGACAAAAAAAAAATTAGAAAAAAAAATCATTAAAGATTAAATACATTGTGAAATTAAAAAAATCTTTGAAAGGACTTGTTAGACGTGTTTTTCTTTGAGTGTAAAGTGAGAGGGGGAAAGAAAGAGATAGAAAGAAAAGAAAAGAAATAAACAGAGATGCAATAAATAAGTGAAAGAAAATAAAGAAAAAGAAAAGGTAGAAAAGTTGGTGTAAAAATATAAAGTTTTATGAAATTTTAAATTTTTTTTAAATAATGTAATGTAATAACAAATAATTAAAAAATATTAATCGATGTTTTAAGAGTACTAGTTAAGGAATAAAAATAAAAATAAAAATATTTTGTTAAAAAATATAAAAATGAACTCACTCTTATATTTTTAATTTATTTCAACACGATTGTTGGTTTACAATACTCATAATTGAATAAGGCTAATATTTAAGGGTAAGATTTTGAGTATTTTTGTATTGTTTTTTAATTAAAAATTATGTTTCAGCTTGATAACATGTATTATTTTTATTGCATGAATTATTGAGATAAAATTATAATTTTAATTAAAAACAATAACAAAAGTTCTTACCGCTAAATTTTATCTATTAAATAATATAGTATTAATTATCTAATACATAAAAATTCAACTCAGAAAGGGTAAAAAACACTTATCTTTTCTGTAGAAGTGAATCACCTTACATTGAGGTTAAAAGTTTTACGTTAACGGGTACAGAAGAGGAAAGACAACTGGTCAACGACATTGTCATTTGTCTTTAATGGAGATAAACAAGGTGTTAACTTGTTATACATATCATGCAGGATTCATATGGGAAACGTTGCAAGTAGATTGGATAGTATAGTTGAGCAAGTGGCTATGGTTCTACAACAGGACACAACTAATGAGTTTAAGGAGCGGATTCAAGATACAGAGTCTATGATTTGCATGTGCAGGTATCCGCACGATAATGTCCCCAAACAAAATGAAGGCGTTTCAGTGAAAAGTAAAGACAGATTATGTGATCATGTCTTGCGCTTCTACCTTCCCATGGAGCATTGTATATTTTACATCCAAACTGAAAGAGGTCCCCTATCATTTGATGCAGGTCCAGAGAATATAGTTGTCACCGTTGGCAAACAACTAGAGGTAATTCCATCTTCTGTTTCATTCCTCAGCAACGCATATGGATATGGGTGTTTTTATATTTCAAGATCAAATATAAATATGCAATGTAGGTGAAGTTCTTTATACTATTAGGTATTTGGGTCTAGCTAGATTATTATTGGTTAAGGAATAAGAAAGAAAAAGTTTTAATTAAAAAATACATAAAGAATGTATTAGAAATCATATTAAATATGCATTAAACTATTTTTAATAAAAAAAATTAATTCCTTAGTCAGCATTTTCTGAAGGACATTGGTTGGTATTTATCAACATAATTAATGTATTAACTTGTTATAAATGCTAGTGATATTATCCTATAGTAGTTAATTTCAATGAGTCACTAAGCAGAAGATGATCTGATAACTGGTAAGAATTGAAAGATGATTTCCTAGCTCTGTCTAAGTAACATGTAGTGATTAATAGACAAAATTTGAGGCTGGAGGAAGTAATAATCAAGTAATAGACGTGAACTTGGGTCCTTAATTTTATTTCTAGTAAGCCCCAATAATAATATCAAACATGATTTGTACTGACCAGAAAGCCAGAAACTAACCATAATTTCACTTAATGAATATAGGAGTGGAGCCAAGGTGTATACAAATGTGTTCCTGGGGAAATGATCTTCATGCCGAGTTTCCATAGTAGCTCGGCCTCTTTCGCCATAGAGCTTAAGTGCTCAGCATATTCAAATCTAAATCACAGTTCAAATAATTCTGACAAGATAATATCCCTGACTGATCAAATCCTTATTGTATTTTGTCTTGCATTCTTATACAAAATTTTATACTTCATTTTTTCCTGATCCTCAGAATATGGTTGCACCATTTTTCATTTATTTGGATGCCCGTTGCGTGGTCATGATGTTGCTTTATCCAGTGAGATCGATTTTTTTTCCTCTAATTTATTTATAAAAGTCATTTTGATGTACAGTTTGAGTGTAAAAAGACACTGGGTCTTGGTTAAAATACCAGTTATGACATATTCTGTTGTAAGTTGAAGGTAGCGAAAATGTTGTATGCATAGATATTGAATAGTGTAAAAACACAGGAAGCAAAGATTTGTAGATTGACAATTTGATCAATCATGGTTTGTATTTTTGCCATATGAGATAATTGCTGGATCTACAATGTCAGAGTTTGGATTCAAACCGTAGTTAATCAGTGCGCGCAACTATGGGATCTTTAGGACTGTTTGCATTAAGAGTAATTGTCATTTCTTAAACATCACCATCTTTTTCCCATTCTCTCATCTTACACAAACTTATTTTTAGAAATGAAACAAGACAATTTCTTATGATTTTTTTTTTCTTAAAGAAGGCGGAAGATAATGTGTAAGAGTTGTGTAAGAAGCATCTTCCTTTCTTAAAAATAATAAAGCTAGGCAATTTACAAAATAAGATAAAATTGCTTGCATTGGGCCGAAAATATTGTCATGTAGCCTTGCTTTACACACAAATAATTACGCCGTGAATTTACGGCCCAATAAATCAGGCCTTCTTTGAGGATAAGGTTCTGTTCTCAAAAGAGCTCCCTCGACAAGTTGATGCAATTATTGTTTCGTGACTAAACAAAGAGTTGACAAAAAACAAAAAACACAAAAGACTAAACAAAGAAAGAAAGATCACTACGCATTAGTGTTTTATGAGTGATCTTATTTAGTCGAAAATTTGTAAGAAGGAATTTCATTAGAATAGTGATAGATAAAATGTATATCGAACGAAAAGCATACTAAATTTAATAGTTTGAACACTTATTTATAAATTTAGAATACTGCATATCATTTTAATTTGTGTTTTGTTATTTGGATCAAATGACAATTTATAATGAGATTTAACAGTTTGAATAATTTTTTTATATTTATATTATTCTTAAATTTGTTTAATAACTATTTTTTAAAGTAAAAAATTAGCCACTAAAAAAATGTCTTCAGGATTTTACTTTGCTCTAATTAATAAAAAAAAAAATTGAATAAAGAATAATGTGTTATTCCTAAAAAAGATAAGGCAAAAATCGACGTAATCAATTAAGTCTAAAGTGTAAAAGATTAAAAGAATAAAACATGGGTACATTATTTTAAATGTTTGACTCTATTTTTTAATTAAAATAAAAAAATTCTTTTGATAACTTATACTAATATTAAATATAATTTTTTTTATCAAATTCTAATTTTAATAAAAAAAATATCAAAAGTATTTAAGTTTAATTCAACATCAAATTTATTAAGTTTTACTAAGCATTGGGTTTTAGAGGGAGAGAGGAGAGAGGAACCTTTAAAATTTAAATAATTTTATTGTTTAAACGACTAATAAATTTTATTTTTGAGATATTGTATTATTTGTTAATTCTTTATATTTTATACAAATACATATTTTAAAAATACATTTTAAATATATAAAATATCTAAAAACGCTCCTCTAATGGTGAAAAAAGACCTTACAAAGTAAAAGCAGATAGATATTCAATACAAAAATTATTAAAAAGTATATAATTATATATGTCAGACCATTATTTTAATTTTATTTACTTTATATATTTTTTTATGCATGCATGTATCCCAAAATTATATCACTTAAAAAATACCTTTTAATATCTTTTTTAATGGTTTAAAAAAACATTTTTCTATAAAAAAATGACAGAATTTATCATAATGAAAAATAGTATACCAAATATAATTTAATCTTATGAATTCAATAAACTATTCTTTCATTACAACTATATTTTTAATTTAATTTAATTTAAATATATTAATAATCTAATTTTTTAACATTGTCATTTAATTATGAGTTATCATATTAGTAATAATTGTTGATTCATATAATAATTAATATAAAATTATATTCATAATAGGTTCTAACTAATTGATGGTATAAAAAAAATTTACATTAATAAATAATAATGAATTAAATTTGATATGTTTTAATTTATTATAAAATATGACATGACAAATCATTTTAAAATATTATGAGTAAATATAATTTAAGGGATATTAAATATTATTTTAATTATTATACTGTTTTTTATTTTTTTTAATATCATATTATATTATTTGAATTATGACAATATTTATACCATTTATTTTAATGATTAATAAAATTTTGAGATCTAACTTGAGGTAACTGAAATTTCTTTCACCACTTTATATTACAGGAAAATAGAGAAAATCATAGTATAATCTTTTTACGAGATCACGGTGGGAACATCTTGATAATTGCCCAAATAGTGATAATTCAGCAAAACATCACATGATATAAGAATGAAGGGTCTTAATCGAAATAAAAGCTTCAGTGTTATTGTCTAATTTTCCTATTGATCGGATGGGGGTTCTTACATTCATATGTATAATACTGTGATACAGTTACCATTGAATTTATTACGAAGTCGCTTAATTAAACTTCTTAATTACTTATAAGTATGTCTCAAAGTGGATTTTTAAAGGAAAATAAAGAAAACAAGATAACTTTATATTTGAAGAGTCGTGTAGTATTTATAAAAATAAATAAATAGGTAAAAAATTTATATCATTGTGTTATTTTAGTTTTTAATTTAAAAAATGTTAATTAAAAAATTAGAGTATGTTTATTTACATTTTAATTTTTTAAAACAAAAAATACATTTGTTTTAAAAATGTAAATAAATATACCCTTAATCTCCTTTTTCTTTCTAAAATTCAGCTTGCAAATATATTTTTAAGGTTTCACTTTTTAAAAACCTTATTTATTATTATGTTGTTATATAATTAATTATAAATGTATTTTAATGTTAATTAAAATAAATTTGTAATTAACATCAATCCTCAATTTTATATCGAAGTTACTGGCTAATTTATTATTTTTCATAATATTATTAATTATTTTTCCTATTGCATCTTTCTTAACTATTCTTTATTTCAATTATCTTTGTCCTTTCATTTCCCTTTCCGTTTATCTCTGACTCTCTCTACCTTTTTATTTCTTATTACTTTGGATGAGGATGAATTGAGATATATATATATATATATATATATATATATATATATATTGCAAAGCTTCTAATTTGTGTGAATATTTGGATATTATTGGTCTTGATTTATTTTAGAATGATACTTATTAAAAATATCAAATGATATCAAAAGATTATACTCTTAATTTTTTTAATCGCGTATAAAATATTATTGTAATATAATATCCATAATTGTTGTCATTATTGGAATAATTTTGTCAAAATTAAAATTGTTTAAATTCTATGAAAGGTTAGTCGTGTATATAGAGAGAAAAATATTAAAATTACTTAATCATAAATCTTCATTTAATATTTTACAACTATTATTAATTAAGAAGTTAAAAAGATAAAATGGTGATTGATAAATTATATTAGATTAAGCTTCACAAATAAAGTTTACATAAAGGCTCAAAACTTTTAAACATTTCCTGGCTACAGCTTAAGAATCAAAGCAGAATAAAGATTAATTACCTAGTTAGCTAGATGTTGGCACCACGTTGTCCAATGGTACCACTACCAGCAAGCTAGAATATATATATTCTTTTATGTTTTGGTCACTTTGGTTCTTTTGGGTTTTGTTGGTGGGTGGCTAATGAAATTTGGTATGATTTCTTTCTTTTGTTGGCTTGAAAGAGTTTGCACAAAAACGTGGACCATTAACTTGTAAGAGCTGGTTGTGACATTGACACAAGCCAAAGATGTTGGCAGTGGGTTTGCTTACTGATTTAGCAAAGCATGAATGAGATACTGAAAGTAGAGTACAGAACATGTGGCGAAGTACGTGAAAAAAGAACCCTATTATCTGCTGTATAGCCAGGCTGAGCCTAAAAGTACTGGTTATATTTTGCATGAATAGAGAACCTTTTCAGCATAGTTAATAGAACGTAATTAAAATGCATTAATACAATAATACAATTATTTTAATATAATTTTAAGCTTTTATCAATGATATGTTCGAGTATTATATTAATGTTTATTTGATTAATATCTTTTTGAAATTGATTATTTAATTTTGTCAATTTCATTTGAAGAATTTTAGTTTTCATTGAAAAAAGTGATGCTGAATATGCAGTTAGACAATAATGACTCTTCCTTCTAAATTTATCAATCTCATTTTCACTGAGTTATGAAAGGGTTATAATTTTATTCATCATTGTCAAGTCCGATGATGACAATATTATATTTTTAATTTAAGCTTCGATGCCATTCCAGTAAATTAATCCTTTGGATTGAGTTGTTTTCATGAGGCTTATCGGAGTAGTGAGAAGTCAGAGTCAAAGACAATAAGTAAATAAATAACGAAGTTCAGCTGCATGTGTATTTTATTGTTCATTAAAATTAGTTATACGTACTTTAGACATGTAAAAGTTAGTCTTAATAACTTTTATATTATCGACGTTAAAAAGTAATTTTGATTTAGAATGATATTTTATAGTAAGTTTGGAACATTTAGTTCGATGTTAAAGTAAAATAACTTGTATAGAATAAATACAAGTATATTTTTTAAAAAAAATTGGTGGATCTTCTTAAAATTAATCATATTTACTTCAAGAGTTATAAAATATTTTTTTTACTCTTCTCAAAGTCAATCATTTTACATCATAGAATTAACTCTCTCTTTTTTTTTTTATCTAAATAATTAATTCGATTCTTTTTTTTTTTATTTCAACTATAGGTATTCTTTATTTGAAGCTTTGGTCGAATAAATTTAGATTATAAAAATCATCTTTTTAATATTTAATACTACTATATTTTTCAACAATAATGAATCACGCATACTTGCTTAGTTAACCGAACAAGTTTGACAATATTAAGTCATTTTGTTTATTCACCCTAAAAAATAGTCATTTTATTGAGCAAAACAACCAAGCTACACTAAATGACAAGTTGAGATTGAATAAGTGCACATTAATCAACAAACTTGAACTTTGACAATACTTTTTACATTTTGTCAACATTAACTTTTAAAATTAATTTTAATTAAAGATTAGCAATATTTTTTATTTTAAATAAATTTTTAATGTTTAATAGTACATATTTACGTAGAGATTGAAGGCCTAGGAGGGTCAACTGAAGTTTTATTTAGTAAAATTAGTTAAAAGTTTATAATTCATATTTATTTAATAGTTTAACGGAAATCTTATAATTTATAACTAATGATTGAATTAAAGTTGTTTAAT